GAAAATGTGAAGATAGAAAAAAAAAGAAAAAAGAAGAAGAAGAGAGAGAATAGGATACGTTTGAGAAGAAAATCATTTGAAAAAAAAATGTTATTTAAAAAATGTAAATTAAATATTTATATATTTAAAAAATATTTTTTAATTATTAATTATTTATTTATGAATAAAATAACTTTTTAAATTAAAAAATTCAAATTTTATTTTTTTAATAATACATATTTTGATATATAATTATAAAATATTTAAAATTATATTTAAAAAATATTTGCGTTAAAAATAATAAAATAATATCATATTATTAAAAATATTAAATATATTAAATTATTCTTTTTTATTTTTATAATATTTTTATATTCATTTATGACATTCTATTAAAATAGTATATAATTAAATTTTAATGTACATATATAAATTAAAATTATAAATATAAGAATAAATACTGTTAGTATAAAAATAAATAATTATTTGTTATTAAAATAATATTTCTTTTATATTTTTAATTTATTTGTATTAAAATAAAATATGTAAATATTCTTTTACTATTTTCCATACGACTAAAGAAGATAAATAATTTTTTTTTTAATTTCATTTCCTTATATTAATTACTTCTCTCTACACTTTTTCTTATATATTTAGAGAACATTTTGATCTCAACCATCTTTATTTATTTTCATTAGTAAATAATTAAAAACAAAAATTAATGCTCCAATAAAAAATATTAAACATTATGAAAAGATTATATTATTCTTCAAATGCATGCATTGTTAATAAAAAATTATTAATAATCTTAATAGAGATTATAATCGAAAAATATCAAACTCAATCTAAGATCAATAATATTTAAACATAGATGGAACGAATGAGATATCTTATTGAAAATAAAATATTAGAAAACTCCTTAATTATAAAATTTGTATAAATATTTCTACAGCTTAAAGTCTTAGAAGATGAATATGTACAATAATAAACTGTAGTTTTGTGATTAAAATATTGTGAAATAATTTTCTTCAGACAGAAAAGTAAGAAATCCATTATCTTGGTTTCACACGGTTGAATCAATGTGGTTGATGATGTGGAGTATTATCCTTAGAAAAATAAAATAATAAATTACCTATTTGACTTGGAAATTTCATTGACCACCACATGTTTTGTATAGCTATTGTCCAAATGATTCTACCATTGACCAAAATTATTCAACCCTTTCATAATCAAGAGACGACTGAATCACACTACGTGAAGTAATTCTCGATCACCAAAAAATTAACAACAAAATGTGTGTGAAAACTAAACAGTGTTGTTACTCATCAACTATACATACATATAATCACGTGAACTGGGTAACAATTTATTGGATCTATTTTAATTAAGTTAAAAAAGAATATAAATATTTTTTTTTATAGATTACTAATTTATTATAGGATTATTTTTATTTGTATTCGAATCTTTCTAGTACGATAAAAAAACAAAAGATAAAGATAAAAAAATAAAGAAAAATGTTTTTGATAAGATAAAAAAAGAAGTCACCAGAACAACATGTTATATTATTCAGAATAACTTCGTCCAGAAAAGTTAACTCAGAAATGAGGTTCTATTCTTCTGTTAATTTGCGTTTGGTTAGTTATTATCTTATTAAATACATGATACAACTATATCTTATCCATCCATTATTGATAAAGAAAAAATATTTAAAAAAAAATGAAAATTATAAATAAATAATATTTTAATTTTATTATCAATAATATTGTACCCTTACAATATTATTCTGTCATAAATTTATAAGTTTCTTAAAAGATAAGTCTCACATGTTTTAAGAGTTGATGACAAAAATCATTTATATATATTTCTTTTTTAACTCATCTAGACACTTTTAAATAAAATATATCATACATACACATAATATTATCATAATAAACATAAAATTAGTACAATTTTATTTTTATATGAAATAATAATAATAATAATAATAATAATTATTATTATTATTAAAAGTTTCACCACATCTATATATTCAACATACCTTCAAACTCTTGTCGTCCAAGCTTTATAGCTTTTTATATCTCAACTCATTTTTCTTTTATGTAATAAAGAATTAGATTAGTCAACACGTAAATGTATTGACCTTAATGCAAAATACACTATTACGCCGGTTAAATTTTGAAAAGAGACATTAGACTTAAACAGGTTCTTTATCACCAAAAATCTGTTTAAAGCATAATCAAGCTGCCCTATTTTCATGATTACTGGGTGTTAATTAGGTCATCACATGTAACAAACTTTACATATAAGTCAATGTATTTTTTATTTGGAAAGATGAAAATTAGGTTTATAAAAAACAAAACAAAAAAGTTGACTAGTTTTAAGATTATAACCCCCCACAAAAAAAAAAAAAAGTGTTCAAATGTACCCTTTTCCTTTTGCAGTGGATGATACTCTCAAGTTTACCAGGATTTGTTCTATAATGGCTATAAATAATAAAAGGTTACCTCATTGAAGTTCTATAATTTGATTAGTGTTAGAGATTAAAAATTGCATATAAATTTGAAACATCTAATAGCAAAAGGTATCGTTTATGTGTGTGTGATTACCTTTACTGAAATGCATAAGAAAGGTGCTATTAAGGGAGAAAAAACAAAGAAAGAAAAGTACACGCATTGCAGGAAATAATCATTGGCAAGAGCGTCTTCACCTTTTTCTTTTTAGTTTTTCTTTTCTTTCGCAATGTAATCTGATTTTGCCAAAACAACTAATGTTATATATTTATATGAATATAAAAAAAAATTGGATGTAAATTTAGATGTAATATTATTTTACTATTCTTCAAAAATTAGTTCTTAAATTGTCTTGAAAGTTTTTTTTTTTTTTTAAGTTATTTATGTTTTTACGGGACTGGAAGAAGGAACGTAAATAAGAGGATTACAAGATTAGACCGAGGAGATCGGTGAATTATGATTTGAATTTTAACTCGATTTTGACTTTAAGAACTTGAATGATTTCTTAGAAAAAGTATAAATCTACTTAAAAAAAAACCCTCTTGAAATTAATTATTAGATAAAATAATAATATATTTTTAAAGTTTTTATTATTATAATTATTATTTAAAATTGTATTTTATACTTTTAAATCACTAATTTAATCATGATTTTTTTTTCAAATCTCTCGTGGCAATGTATATATAAATTTGGAGAACTGGTTTGACAAAAAGTTAACAACACGATGATGCTTAAAGTACAATGAATAGAATCCTTGGGAAAAAAGAAAAAAAAAGAAAAAAAAAAACGCAACCTAACTCAACAAAATATAGTTAAAGGAAAGAAAAGGTTCTATAGAATCCTAGAAGAGGCAACCTGGGATGAGCCAGGGCATGCTTCTTTTTCAATTATTTGCAAACACAAAGTATACTGTTTATTTTCAAATGAAAAAACATAAAATAATATATATATATATATATATATATATATATATATATATATATATATATATATATATATATATATAAGGAGAGAAAAAAGGTTATGAATACCTATGTAAAAATTGTATTGCTGTAAAAATAAAATTTATTAATTTTTAATATAATTATTTTAAAAACTATATATATTTTTTAATTGATTAATAATATATATAAAATCATTTAGACTAACTATTTGTTTTAGTTTGAGTACTAATATTCGTTATTGAATACAATATGTTTTAAGTAAAAAAATTCATAAAATATTAATTAATGAGTCTGTTTTTAGAATTTTTTTTCACAGAAAGCTTTCCTCAAATCCAAATTTCAGTAAAATTGTTTTTTTTAGCAAATTAATTGATCATTGGAAACTTATTTAATGCCAAGTTTTTAAATTCGACACAGAAAATTATGCAAAAACATTTTTTTAATGTTCAAAAGGGGAATATTTAAGTTAGAGATAATGCATACAGTATGGTAACCCTAATTTTTGTTTACACAAGTATTTTATATTATTTAAACTTTAAATTTCTGTCATTTTCATTACAAATTTTAATTTTACACATAATGACGATAGTAACGTTTTTTAAATCGGATAGTTAATTAACCATTAAAAACATAAGTTTAAAATTTAAAAAAATTCGATTAAATTTGATAAATAATACTTTTAACAATATAATATTATAATAGATACATAATAATTTTATTAATAATAACACAACTTTTATAAAAGAAAAAAAACTATAATAATAATGAAAATTATTATTGTAATGTGGTGAGTTTCATTAAAAAAATACAAAATATAAATATAAATCAGAGTAAGATGAAAAATAAGTATTATATATTATATAAGATACATGAAAAAAAATATTAAATCTTTTAAAAAAGTATCCTTTAAATTTTGTGATATTTTTTTAAATTGAATCTTTAAAAAATTTACAAAATTCGATTGAACTCAAAAATCCACCAATTTTACATGTCTTGTTTTGATTTTTTTATATTGATTTAATTAAATTCTGTTCTTTTTTAAAAATAATAGATGGATTTCTATAGGTATTTTTAATTAATCTGATCCGATTTTGGGATCAATTATATTAAATAAAAAAAGAAGAAGTGATGTAACATTTACAATTTAATAATAATAATAATAATAATAATAATAGTAATAAAAATAAAATAATAATAATAATAATAACTTGGTTTGAAAAACAAAAACTGAACCTTCAGTTAAATTCTCGTGTCTTATCAATGACCCCTTTGAATTATCAAAGTGTCAACCATAATCCGGTTAGTCGGTTACTCTTCTCATTCATTCATTCATGCTCTTTCTCTCTTCAGCTGCCAATATAAATACTGAGAAGTAGCGAACCGTTCTCCATTCATTTTTCTCAAACTCAACCCTCACAACACAACATACATAGACACACCTTTGAAGAATCTGATGCACCCAATATAGCAGCATAGTTTAGTTTTTATCATTTAACACACATATTTTCTTAGTTTATAGATATATACTGGAGGCTGAAGCAAACAACATTTGTTCGATTCTTCAACCATGGCAGATGATCAATTTCAGGCAAGTGGGAACTGGTGGGACACAGCAAGGAACGTGAGGTATGAAAGCGAGGCATCACAATCATCTTCCTCAGCCATCACCAACATAGGCAACTTTGGTTGGCAAGCTTCAGATATGGCAGATATGAAGCCGAGGTCTTCCATGGATTCTTCTTCTGTGGTTTTTCATGACTCACAGAATAAGCTTCAGCCCCCAGATTCTACAACTTCCACTGACCCCAACTTGCATATGATGGGTCTAGGCCTTTCATCCCAAGCCATGGATTGGAATCAAGTATCTTTATTGTAAGTGCATGGAATTTGTGCTAAGTCAAACAAAATCAAACAACCCACCAAAAAAAGAAGATATTTTTATCTCTTTGTTATTTTTTGATAACTTTGGTAAATAATATCTCTAAAAATCAAGTTTTCAACCGAGTCAAATAACATGGTGTGATGTGATCTATGTAGCAGATATAAAGAAAAGGATTTTATTATCACTTTGCAATTTAGCATGATAGAATTGAGTAAAGAGTTTATCAATCTTCAAGGGACATAAGTTGTGACTTTTTGGTTTTGTTTGTTCATGGTGATAGACGAGGAGAGAAGGGTCCAGAGAATAGTTTCAGATCGATGTTGCAAGAGAACTTGAGCTCATCAAGAACCAATTTTCAGCAAGAAACTGGGGTGGGGTTGTCTCAACAAGTTCAATGGAGGCCAGAGAAGATGTTCTCTGCAGAGTCTTCAACCAATGAGTTCAAGCAAGTGAATAGGGGTTTCTCCTTGGATCAAAGCAAGTTTAGTCCTCAATATAGCTCTGGGGACAGCACAGTGACAAGCCAAGGGTTACCCTCCTCTAACTTTCATATGGATTCCTCAGCCTTATATGGGACCCCTTCAATATTGCAAGGGCTATTGGGACCTGATCACAATAACCAACCCCAACCCCAACCCCAACAACAACAACAACAACAACCCTCTTCCTTTGAGAACCGCTCCATGAGTTTTCTATACCCAACAAGCTATGGAAACTCTAATGAACTGGTCCCTTCTTGGTCCAAAGTTCCTCAATTCTTGAGAGGTTCACCTCCAAAACAACCACCCAATAACCAGTTGCATTTCACTAACAACGCACCTTTTTGGAACGCTGCTGAGGTTGCAAACATCAAAGATGTTCGGTCCAGCTTCTTCCCTTCATTGCAGCCCCCCTTCTCCACGCCAAATTTTGAAGTACAGTCAAAGGTACTGTTGCTATATACTGCCACACAAAATGACAACATAGTTTATCTATATCATACGTATACAAGTTGTAAAATGTACTGATATAAATCCACTTTCTAATAATTCTCTATAGAACCTTGTAATTTATGTAGTATTGTATTATGGTATTAGGGTTTAATAGAAGCACTGCATTGGATGGAATGTAAAGTTTAAATTAATTGATATAGCTATGGTTTTAATTTGCAGAATATATCTGAAGTTTGGGAGTCTGGAACTGTGGGAAAGAAAAGTGGGAATGAGCCAGCACCCAAAAGGACCCGTAACGAAACACCATCTCCTATGCCAGCTTTTAAGGTACAATAAGTGCAACTAACCTTTTAACAAGAAGGGAAAAAGCTTTAAACTTTTTATCTTTATCTTTATTTCTTTCTTCTGAATCCATAAACATGGATGTGAACCTGTAATTCTACTTTCTTGCCTCTTAGGTGAGAAAAGAGAAGATGGGGGACAGAATCACTGCACTCCAACAATTGGTGTCGCCTTTCGGAAAGGTTGGCTTCCAATAAAATCATCTACAGCCTATTAAGTGAATGATCATTTCATTTGTGAATTTATGTCATATAATAAGTGGGGATAAGAAAAAAATAAATTATCATAGCAGTTTTGATAATGCTGGTTTCTTATTATTGATAAAAGATTAAAAATCTGTTATATTGTGTCAGACTGATACAGCCTCAGTGCTCTCTGAAGCCATTGAATACATCAAATTCCTCCACGAACAGGTCACTGTAAGTCCCATAACCCATTAAGATGTTCTTATTAAAAAAAACTAGAAACAATGGCAATACTTTCATCTTATAGCTACGTTTTTTCGTTTTTATTTTCTACAGGCTTTAAGTACCCCGTATATGAAAAGTGGAGCTCCAATACAGATTCAACAGGTACCATACGTACATAAAGACACTGCAATTAAATCTGATATTTCTTTCTTTCTCTAATAAAATGGTGATGGGTAGTATTGAGCTCTTTTTTAAATATCAAATGCTTCCTCTTCAGATTTAACTTTTCTTTTTCATTCACCTCATTGTTTTTGTTTTTCTTCACTCCATTACAGACCTTCAATACATGTCAGCATTGAAAATTCCAATGTTTGATTTATAATATTAATAATAATATGAACTATTATACTATATATTTAATGAAAATATATCAATTTTCTATACTCATAAAATTATTTAGTTAAACTGTTAATCGAATAATCATAAACATACATATACTTTATCTTTCATTTCATTATATGCATTTCATCTTTATAGCATTCACTTCTTTTCTAATCTAATCATTTATTATATCTATTATTTATTTTTTCTTTTTTCTCATACCTGTCTTCATCTGCCTACATCCTTTAATCATTAATATATGATATGTTTTTGCATAATGCATTGTAAAAGACTTTTCTATATCTCTACTCTCTTCAAAATATTTTGATATACATGTTAAAAGGAGTGAAAAAGTGGTAAAGAACAAATAATGTGAAACAAGCATTACTCTAATTGGAAGGAAAAGGAAAGAGGTAGGAAAGTGAGTAAGATGCAGATTTGATTCTCAGGCACTGATGCTGATAACTTCTTTCCAAATTTGGCGAATTATAATTCATTTTTGCTTTTGATGCAGAATTCTGGTAAATCTAAGGAGACTGAGGGTCCAAAGCAGGATCTTAGAAGCCGAGGGCTGTGCTTGGTGCCTGTTTCGAGCACATTTCCAGTGACTCATGAAACCACAGTTGATTTTTGGACATCAACATTCGGAGGAGCTTCCAGATAACAATAATAATAAGGGTAAAATGTGTTTTAAGTCTAAGTTCTTTTATCAAAATTGTTTTAGCCCATATTTTTTGAAGAATGATTATGGTCTTTGTATTTTTATAATTGATGAATTTCATCTTCTTTGTGAAACCTATATACGGTACCAAGTGAGATGAGAAATTCACTAATTATAAAAATTAGAAGGACCAAATTTTGATGGAAATTAAAGAAGTTAAAACACATTTTACCCTGATAATTATAATAATGGATGGATGGAAAGTTGGGACACGGAACCAATACCCTGCAAGTAGCTAGCTAGGTCATGCATGTACCTTATCACACACCTGGCCAAGTTGGGAATGATATGATGAAAGAAAAGAGAAACAAGAAAGAGGACACGGAAGCCCACATAAATATGTAAAGGTAGTTAGTTCTGCTGGGGTGTGGAAAAGATGTATAAAAAAGAGATGGGGGAAAATGTGTTTGAAAGAGAAAGAAAGGGAAATGACCCTTCAAAAGACAGCCATTGTTGGACCAACTACACTCAGAATTATGCAGGGTTTGGGAAATATTGGGACCATTGGGAGCGGAATAAGTTGTTGTAATAATTGAAGAATTGTGCTTAGAGTAGTGGGATTAATTAGGCATGACAAAAATGCTGAATATATAGAAAGTTCTTACTTGCTAGACTAAACAAGAGGGAGATATTGTTGTTAGCAGAGATAAAGGAGCTTTATTATTTCTTGTTGCTATATTGTGAATAGATCTGGCACTACCTACCTTTAACTCAAGAGAAAAGGAATTTAATTTGAGAGAATAATTGAAGTATAGAATAGAAGAGTGAGTGAAGGGATGCGTCATTTGATTGGAAACCTCACTTTTTATTTGTTTATGTCTTTGGAATAAGTAAGTGGAAGTCAGAAGGTGGCCCACACTCCCCCTTTTAGGGTTTTCAAAAATTTTCAAATCAAATGTTTATTTTTCAGAAAGATTAATTAGAAAGATATTCATATGTTGAAGATGCTTTTCCACATGCTTTTGTGCTTTATACCGAATGGCCACATAGATGGCCTTCCATTGGAAGTATGTGTAGAAAGAAGAGGAAATTCATAAATATTTATATCCTCTTGGGACTTCTGGATTAGGACATATAAGGTCCTCATTTTGAATGCACTATGTGCCCGTCATTATCTATTTCTTCTTTCTACAAAAAATCAACAAGACCCCACAACAATTCCAATGAACGTACATATAAATCAACTTACATGTACCTGAGCTACTTAGAATCACCATTAAACCTTAGTTGATTATGGCGTGTTGGTTCTTCTTTTATAACCAATTCTTTCCATTTTGTACACATTGTGTGTGTGTGTGTGTGCGTGTGTGAAGTTACAGATAGCAAGAACAGTGACAAAATTGCACGAAGAACACCATTAATTGTCTTGAAATTTAAAGCCTACATGATTTGTATATCTTTAAACCGAGCAACTTTTGTTAATTAGGGCTTGACAGCTATTGGCCAGAGAGTATTTCGAACGATTTTGTTCTGGTCCAGGTGGATGGTGGTGGTGCCTCTGATTTGAAGTACTTTAGTAAATCTTTCTTTCTACCTTCTCCAGCAAGATCTGAACATAGACTAATGCAAAGATGGAGCATAATAGCATTTTAATCATTATCACGTTAAACTAATTAAGCTAGCCTGTCATGGGGCTCCACACTATTTTTTATCAGCCTAATTGCTTTCAAAAAAATTTGTCTCCATTAAGAAACTGTCATATGTCATTCATTTGCTTCTTCTTTTTGTTATATCTGATATCTGTGCTTCTTTGTTTGTCTTGAAAGTAAATAATGAGAGGAATTTGCCATTCTTTCTGGTAATATCTAAGGATCCACGATTTCTAACTCTTTATGCCACCTGATAGAACTCCAAAGAGAAATAAATATGTGCTTAACTTCAATTGCTCAATGTTAATTAGTTTTAAAAATTATGTCTATTAAAGTTGCTGAAGCAAAGAAGAGAACATTAGCTGGGATGAGCTTAGTTATCAGTAACATATTGCATGATAAGACTGTATAATATGACATAACTTCTATAAAGATTCCATTCCAAGTTTTTCTGCGCGTCATGTGTAAATGTCAGGTTTCTTCATCATGCTTGAAAACGACCGTGTCATCGGAATCCAAAAAAAATAAGTTGCTGCTGAAATTCGTGAGTGTGGCTAAGAGCTAGTTGAGAAAAGATATCAGGGCAGACACTTTTTGTCATGAAATGATGGAACAAGATGCTGCAAAGCCAGAATTAGAAACCCATTGATGCATACTAATGATAGGAAGATAAAAAAAATTGAGCAAAGTGGACCAAAACCAAAACACACAAAATATCTCTGCAATTTCTTTCACAACAAAGACAAAGGAACACCATTGTTCTTCTCTTATCAGAATATTTATCCTTTTTTACATGACTCATCGTTTTTCCTGTATGGACTGTCTAATCAATAAGCACCTACTTGCTTCATTTATTTTTTTTCCAATCAAATACATAACTATTGCTTTATTTTATGTTAAAAAGTGGATAAGAAATTAAGAAATCAACAAAAATGAAACTGAAAGAGGTGGGGAATGGGATAGGATGCCAATTTCCACGTCGTAATCTCATCGAATCGCTTTCAGGAAAGAATTTAACAAGGCTGATATTAAGTACTAAAAGCTTGTTTGGAACAAAAAAATGTAAAGAGACATAAAATGTCACGTCAAACAAATAGAAGACATGGAAGCTAGACTCGCTAGATTTTGTTGTAGACCTGCAAGCAAACACGGTTAGGCTCCGTTTGTTAAAGATGACATTTTTATGACAAAATGATATATTCACGAGGGCAATAAAGAGGTTTTTGTATAAATAAAAAAATAAATAAAAGGTATATTTGTAAAATAATATTGTATATTCTCTATATATACCAAATATTTCATCAATACTTTTATATTCTTCATCTTTTATCTTTTTATCACGCTGGTGTGTAGTAGCACTGAAGAATATTATCCATATCCATAGATTATTATCCTTTTCAATAGAAAGAAAGATGGAACATGTTTCTGCAGAATCCATGGATGTATATAATGTTTTTGCAGGATCCATATGTATACTTGATAACCACCATAAGTAGTATATTTTCTCTTTACCATGTCACTCACGCCACCATTATACCCCAACCCAAACCCTTGCAACTCCTCCCACCATTGTCGCTCCTCTGTTGATGAGTCATTATTGTACCATCACCATGTTGTCATTATAAGTTAATTGGTTAATTTTTTTAATTGGATTAAACTAGACTTAATTCGATTTAACTATAAGTTAAATGATGAGTTTATATGATCAATTTGAAACTAATCCAATCTATTAGATGAAAATTATTAAATAATATTAATTATAAAAATAATAATATAATAATTATTTATTTATTATATTAAATAAATATATTTTTAAACAATTAAATTATTTAATAATAATAATAATATAATTTATATTTAAAAATTATATAAATCTAAAAAATATATTTTAATATTAAAAACTTTAATAAAAAAATATTTTAAAAAAATCTGTGACCAAATTAATGAAATCCTATCCAACTTGATCATATACCCCTAGTTAAATATAATTTTTATTTATATTTTAAATTAGTTAACTTTATCATATTATTATTATTATTATTATTATATTTTTTATATTTGGTGTTAAACAAAATTTATAAATTTTTTTGAAAATTTTATATAAATTTTGTAAAGTTCCATGAGAATTTGGTAAAAGAATCCCATAATATAAAATCTCATTTAGTTTTCCTCTTTCAATTACTATTTTGTTGTCGCTGGACTTAAATTGACGCAAACAAATTTCTACGTTGCTGTAAAATTAGATTGAAAGTTTTTCTTTTAGATTGACAAATGATAATTATTAATATATTGTAATTAATTATTTGAAGATCTTTAATTGTTTTTTTAGCATTTATATATTTCTACTTTTCTGATGTCTTAGTTTTGTTCGTTTGTAGTCATACATCAAATTATTTTCTTTAAACACGAGAATAATAATAAAGTCAATTTGTAAACTCAAACTTGTTGCTTAATACAAAAGATGACAACAAATATTTTTTAGACTAACCCAAAGAACAAGACTGACAGAGAGACAAACTTTAATCATTTCAACAAATTTCAACATACACTGAAACATGCAACACGCATACAAAGCATTTCCTTTACGAAGATCTGAAGAAACAAAAAATTACTTGCAAGCACAGATAACTAAAGCTCAATATATTTCAAGCCTAAAAAATGGGTGATGATTTTCAAGCAATATTTTGGTATGGTTTAATAATAGTAATAGTATGACTATATATGAAGGCATTATTATGCAGCTTGCTTGAGCTTCTTTGTGATGGCTGCAATGTACTTCCCTTGGTGGAATGCTTGCTCTAACTCAAGCTCACTTGGCTGTCTTGAGCCGTCTCCTGCGTAAGTTCCAGCTCCATATGGACTTCCACCTTTCACTTTCTCCATCTCAAACATGCCGGCACCGAAAGTGTAACCAATGGGGACAAATATCATTCCATGATGAACCAGTTGAGTGATAGCCGTGAGCCTGTTATGGATTCAACATTGTTAGAATTTGATTCATCCAGGTAATGGAGCAAGAAACCAGGAACTTGGGTAAGAGGGTGCCTACGCTGTAGTCTCTTGTCCACCACCTTGTGAACCGGTGCTGTAGAAGATTCCAGCAGGCTTTCCTGCAAGCTGTTGTGCTCTCCATAAACCTCCAGTAGCATCTAGAAAGGCTTTAAACTGAGCAGCCATCATTCCAAACCTTGTTGGGAAGCCAAACACAAAGCCATCAGCCTCAGAGAGTTCGTTGGGGGTAATGATTGGTACATCACTCTTGGGTGGTGCACTCATCTTACCAAGCACCTCCTCCGGCAGTGTCTCCGGTACCTGTTCACAGTTTCATCAAAGAAAATAAGTTCTATATATATATATATATATATATATATATATATATATATTTACAATCTTTACTGACAGGAAAAAATTCAGCAAGAATGAATTTGGAAGCAGAGTTTTCCAAGAGACTACAGAGTATATAAAAGTTAATCACACAATTATTTACCAACTGAAGACAAGAGATCCTCACTCATAGATGTCTCGAAACAACATTATTAGAATTTTTCATATTTAGTGCAAATTTTCCAACAGATTTCTATAAAAATTAGAACGAAATAAGTTTCTTGTAGATTTTCCTGTTAGTTTGTAAAGTCCAACAATTCACATGAAAAATCCTACAAAATATGAAAATTTCTAATAGTACAAGATTGGAAGTGGAGAGAACTACAAGAGACAATTAATAAAGGTATATGATTATAAAAGTACATGGATGCAGGAGTATTATGGCGACAAGATAATAGAGGAATTTAGCCAACAGAAAGTTTGAAGCTATTCATGGTTTTGCTCAGACAAACTTATTCATTACACTTTGGGAAAAGAAAATAAGAAAAAATGAAAAAAAAAAATCTCAAGCTTGTAGAAATTTTTTCATTTTAGTTACTTCAAAACTGATTTTAATTTATAAATAAGCAAATTTTGACTTGCAAAATATATTTTTTTTCCTTATATAAATGTTTAAGAAGAAGTTTATCGGAAATCAAGTGCATATTTTCTTCATGTAACAGCTCAAATGCAAGCAAAATAATGTTGAATTGAAAACAAAAAATATAAAAATCACTGTGCAATAGGTGATTTACAAGTTTATTATTAATATATTTTTTTTAATTTCATAATGCACTGATTTGCTCTAAAGATGAATGAGCCTTAACTCTGGAACTGATGTCCATTTGTAACTTAAAGCTCATGAAGGTGCAAAATAACAGTGTAATAAGTGTTTATACAAGTAGGTTATTTATTTTTAATGCATTTATTTGCTTTACAGAGGAATGAGCCTTAGCTCTGGAACTGATGTTGCTCCCAACTGGTAATTTCATGCCATGACACAATGGAATGCACAGGAAATGTAAATTATGAAGCATAAATACATGCCTGCCATAATTTTGCCTCAACACCTTCAACAGAAGAAGCCCCTTTCTTTATCTCTTCTGCTAGTTTCTCAACATGTCCATACATGGAATAGTACCTGTCAAAGCAGTGTGAAAACTACATTTATAATTCAAGCTTACAGAAACAGGTTCAGGAATTCAACTCATTGATGAAATGGAATTCTTCTGGATAATAAAAAAGAAAGGAATTGCAAAATCAACAAACATGTAACAAGGAGCATAATCACAAAAGGTTCTAAATACAAATATATATTTATATGAAAACAAGGGTGGATAAGATTAAAGCAATATTGCAATATTTTTCAATCATTTTAGATGGATCTTATGCAAGAATATATAGTGCAGTCGTCAACCTCCAAGCACCCAAGCTAAGATTTTTAAATTTCATCAACAATCAAACACTTGAAGGTTTTTCTCTTTAGATAGTACAACCAACTGTTTGTTTATTTACTTTGAAACATAAATTTCATATCCTTAGTTGACCTAGTAATCAGAATCAATTCAGTTTAGAAACTGATGCAATGGAAGTTACTGATCATCATGGTTTGCATTGTTGCACATGTAGCAGGAACTTGAGACATGAATTCCACTCATGCCTGTGAAAATTGAACTCAAATATGTAACTAGCAAGGTCACTGAGAAATTGTCAAATGTAGAAAAGACAACAGGACCTTCAATGTAAACATTATGGCGTACCAAATCATAGGATCAAAAGTCCAACCATGAGAACCAGAGTATCATGGCAAAGCCTCTATTAGAAGTTAGAACATGGTCCAAATGATTGTGCAGCAAAGAGAAAATTATGATCCTCACTCAACATTGAAAACATTAGAGAACCTCAATGCAACATAGACAAGTTATTTAACATTAACTAGTAAATTTACTTGCAAGAGGTGAAATCAGTAGATCTGAAAATCAATCGCTTCTTAGTTTCCATTTCATTCTAAATTACGTGCCAATTAAACCAGTTGGCATAAATAAATATTTAGAGGTTCAAAACCTTTAGAAGATCATTTCACTGTTTTAACTAGCAATCCTGTTCCCTCCTTTGATAGCAATAATTAACAAAGTGATCAGTGCAAAAAACTAACCTCAGATAAAATTACAGAACAATAGAAAAGTCAAATTTTCTCTGATTTTTTCATCATATTTATTTTTCTAACAAAAATTGTGGCTAGATAGGTGACACAACAAAAGAGCCAAAAGCACATCTCTCATGTAGATGTAAAAGTTGGGTATTTATGCCTCACAGGCATATGTATGTATGCTCATAAATAACTATTGTTTTAGTATTACTTGTGACACCATATAACTATTGGTTTGTACTTAAAGATTTTGATGAAAGATCTCGAAAGTCATTTTGATCAATTATTCACTTTGATTCATTCTCTCAACTTTTTAAGTTGCTTACAAATGAAAATAACAAATTTGGTACTGCAAGATGTTCAGTGTTCACACATATTGTGACTGTATGAGCAAAATCTTGTCTGACGTAATTATTGTTGAGTATCACAAGAGAAAGATTAATCCACCATCAACAAAAGCTCTCTATTGCTTGCAAACAATTAAAAAGTATACAGAAAAACTGAATTTTTTTTCCTAGCAATTGAGATGCAGAAATTGACATGAATGCTTCAACTGATTGCTATTCTTTATCACAGTAAAGAAAATAAATATTTACAATTTTTTTTTAACTCAATCATACATCTAAGATTGATGAGTGTCCCAATGTTGATCTTAATGGAAACCATCAATTCTTCAACAATAGTCTAATTGAAACAACACAAATTTATATTCTTCTCTTTGACGGTGATCAGTACAGTAAATCTAAAAGAAAGTGAGTCTATACACATCTTATTTCCATAGTTTTACATTTTTATATCAGTAAAATTCCAACTCAAAATCAGTTAACTGAAACCAAGGAAAAATAGCTTTTCTGCATAGTATGATTCTGATTACTACCAAACAAAATGCAGAACGATTCAAACAACGAACACATCAAGAGAACAAACTCACAGAAGGGATTTCTGAGACCAACACCATTCTGCCAACAACTCCAAAAAGAAACGACCAAACCAAAACAAACCAATTCTCCATCATTTAGCACATAGGGCACGCTCTAAACAACAATGGATCAGATCGAAGAATTCTGTGACACCCACAGATCTTTAATGGGCTTTCAAAAGGCCCGAAATTTAAGTACCCGCTGAAGAGGTGAAGAAAACCCAGAAAACAAAATCTCATCTTGGTCATCATAAATGACAAAACAAGGGACCCAAAAAATAAAGGAGGTAAAAAAAAAACAACACTAACGACAACGACAGTACAAACTGAGAAATTAACGAAGAATATAACAAAGCTTAAGATAAAATAAAATATCGTTATTATGAAGGAAAAGGGTGTAAAGAAACATACACAATATAAACTTTGACAGCCATTGATGAAGTCTTGCAAGGTCTCCGAGTGTCTTTCTCTGTGATTAGTTTTGTTACCTAAACAAAAGCACTAAAGTTGACGATGGAAAATGCAGAGGACGCACTATATATATATATATATATATATATATATATATATATATATATGATAATGTGATGTGTACTTGCACATTGGATTGAGTAGCTTGGCTAGCATAATAATAATAATAATAATTTTTAATTAGTGGGTAATTTTGCTGATTTGCTTTGTATTATGACTTTGCCTTTTTGTACGCTTGGTAGGTGAAACGACACCGTTGTCTATACAATATGATTAATGATGATAGAGTGGTGTCACGCACATCATCATCATCATCATGGTTTTCGTGAACTAATGCAGTTCCTCTAGAAGCTGTCAATTTTTTAACTTTTATGACGTCATTTGTCATTAATTAAATAAAATAATCTTTATCTAATAATTTTATCTTTTTATCTTTTCTTTTGAAAAACCTGACAACGGCGTAATTTAGATAGCTTATAATTAAATAATTTATTGAAAGAACTTCAAAATTATTTTTTCTTAAAAATGAAGTAAAATAAAATTTTCCCCCAAGGTGCGGTTTGAATCAGTTTATAACAAATAAGTCTTATTAAATCTAAATGTAAAACATAAAAAAAAATGCTTTTTGTGTTAACTTTTAAAAGGAATTTAGGAAAGCAAATACATTTTCTTAGAACTAATCATTCCAAACATGTCTTAAGCATAGAGTTAATGATGGGATTTTTCAATGGCATTTGAATTAAGAAAACCAATGAGTGATGTGGGGTTATTGAGAAAGGTGGGGTTGGTGAAATCAAAGCCGTTGAATTGGTTTGGTTGGTCTAATGACATAAGGCATGGTCATGGTTGTGAGCTGTGAATGTGATTAGGGTCCACCAAGAGTATGATTTTATTTTTCATAAAATATAAAATAATTGATGGAAATTGAAGTGTTTACTGAATTTGCAGCAACAATGAATAAGGGTGATGGCGTTTGACTTTGCCATGATTTCGTGTCTGGCATCGACAAAAGGAATTAGATGACGCATTTTATGGGTAAAATATTGTGGGAACCCTGTGTTTTTTAGGAGTAAAATGGGTGAGACTTCAGAGGTTGATAGATTTTATTATATCTTCTGTTGTTCTTACCAAAAGATTTCTTAAAAAAAGAAAAAAGAAAAAAAAAAGGTATCTAGTTAAAATCAAGAATTGGTCGTTCTACCTTTTATTGGAAAATTTTTGACCAAATTTTTCAGTTTGCATGTCTATAACACCAATTCTGTGGATTGAAGATAGGTTAACTGTATCATTTTGCTCTGCATGAATCTCTATTTCAACAAGGAGAAACCACCATATTTATGCATATATTTCTTGATGCAATTATGCTTTATCACATATTCTTAACCTAACCATGTAATGGAGTAATGCTAGTTTCAAGTCCACTTCACACAATAATTTCTAAGATAATTTAGGAAAAAGATCAGAAGAGAGAAAGAAATAGGAATGAAATGGTGAAGAGAGATAGAGCGAAAAATAATGTTATAAAAAATTATATAAATAGCATTATTTGTTTTCACAAGATCTCTGTTTTTCAATTCTTCCTTGGTCGTATCTTTCATTTGACGAAAGCTTCATATAGTTTCATTTCACACCTTCACATGTGAAACGAAGTAGTTGTAATTAAGAATTATGGGCATAATAATTATGTATCAAGGACACTACTCTTTAATGTCTTTAATTTGACATCAACAACAATTTGACATCATTAATATTACTAATTTCATTTTAAAACACAGCTTTCTCAAAACAAATTCATTTTTAAAACTTGATATAGTATTTTAAGGAAAAAATGTTAAATATGCTAAAATTAGTGACTTTTTTGGAGGGAGAACTATATTACAATTTAAATGGTGCAGTTAGAATCCATTGAAAATTAGCTGTACTCACATGCCTATGTTGCAGAATACGTAAGAGAAGATACATGATATAATAATATTGCCTTCCTTGGATGCAATGACAAAGTCATGACCTATCAATGGTCAATAAAATGATGAAACATTTACATTCAACTTTATTTTGTCTTCCAAATTTGGTGCAAGGTCTCAAAAACTGGTCCATCCTCATCATATTGTTACTCCAGTGCTAGTTAAAACTCTGAACTTACCTAACGCAGAGTTACATTGATTTATTTTCCATAATGAACCTGAAAATGTACTTCAGCCTCTGGCATGATGAGCAGCACTTTTTGCATTATATAAAAATATGTTGAAATATTATATGAATATTGGGAAGGTATGCATGAGTTCTAGTAATTAAAAAGGAACATGGCAACTTTTTCCTTCACAGTTTACCGCTCCCCATTGAAGACCATAAAGGAAAAGATGGTTGTTTTTTGTTTCCCTTCCCTTGCACAATCAGAAATCAACCATGGTGCCATTATTATTAGGGTTATTATTATGGTGTTGTCTTGCTTCGTGATTCCTAAGAAGAGTATCTATCTATACGCAGAAGGGTCACATGCCACATGCACAAAGGAAGATGAAAATTGGCTTTTGCTTGAAGGTTTCAAAGTATGTTCAAACTTTAAACTCAACGGGTTGCTTCTTTATTAAGCTTACCATTTTACCTATGCCTCATCTCTTCACTTGTGTATGTATGTTCTTAGACTATTAAAATAGGTATGATAAGATCGACAGACTTCGCAAAGTTAAAAAAAATTTAAGTCATGTTAAAAATATTACTATGGAAATGGTTTAATTTTAATTTAAAAATGAATCATAAAATGTTATATAACATTCTCAAATACCTATTTTTTCTTTTCATACCGAATAAAATATAGTTTTTTTTCTATCTTACCCTTTTTATTTTTCTTTCATTTATTCTTCACTTTTTTGTCTTTGTAAAATTTTTTAACGGTTCAAAACATTTTTATTTTTTTGCTTCCTTTTCACTCTTTCTTTTTTACTTCCAAGTAAAATAATTTATTATTAATAAATAATAAACAAAATATAAAAAATAAAGAATTTTTCTCTTTCTTTTCACTTTTTTCCAATTGATTTTCAGAAGTAAAATAATTTATTATTAATAAATAATAAATATAAAAAATAAAGAATATGAAAAAGTAAAATATTAAATTTATAATTATACAAATAAATATATTTAATAATTATTAAATTTAAGAGATAAAATCATAAATAATAATATAAGTTATAAAAATTTGGAGTGAGTGTCCTCATCTCCCAAAAGTTCCCTATTACTTTCATATTTATTTAATCTCTTTAACAAGTTTTTATTTCTTTATTTTTCTCTAAATGTCATATATCTAATAACATCTAGTATTATTTTATGTCTAATTTATTTTTTTATTAAGTTTTATCATATAATATATATTTTATTATTTTTATTTTTAAATATTAAATTTTATGTTATTTAAATAATTATATTTTAAATAATTGATATTTTGAAATAATAATAATGGAAGTTTTTATTATTTCGTATTAATTCAATAAAAATTATTTTATTAAATATTTTTTATAAACTATATACTTTATATTTATTAATATTTTAGGTTTTGACACAATTTGACACGACGACAAAATGACCCTTTGAGGTAGGTCTACTTTACGCAATGACCCGTTGAGGTTGGTATACTTTACACGATGACATGTTGGTGGATCTTCTCTACACGATAACCTAATAAGGTCGGTCTACTTTACTGATTATCCAACGAGGTCAGTTTACTCTACATAATGACCCAATGAGGTCGATCTTCTCTATATGATGACTCAACAAGGTTAGTCTAGTTACACAAAGACCCAATAAGGTCGGTCTACTCTACACGATGATCCAATGAGATCAATCTATCTACATGATGACCCAATGAGGTTAGTCTATTTAACACGATGACCTAATGAGGTTGTTCTACTCTATATGATGACCCAATGAGGTTGATCTACTCTACATGATGACCCAATGAGGTTAGTCTACTCAATACGAGGACCAAACAAGGTTGGTATACTCTATACGAGGACCCAATGAGGTTAATCTACTATACTCGCTTATCACATACAAGAAGGGATGTTAATATGAGTTGTAACCTCTGAGCCAACCCGGCTCACCATGGGTTCAAGTCAGATTGGGTTCAACATTTTTCATTTTCACCGATAATGAGTTAAAAATGAATCTGGCTCATTTAACCCACAGGTTAAGCGGGTTCAAGCTGGGCACCGTTCATTTTAAATTTTAAAAAAATTATAATAATTTAGTAACCATAATTGATGTTATTCTATCTCTCCACCTCTACTTCACTCCATCGCTACAAGCCAAATCCTCACTCAAACTTATCATTAATTATCCACCACGTCACTACGTCTGCTTGTCATTTGTTTGCCACACCATTGTGTCACTATGTTCATTGTATTTATTGTGTCATTGCATTTCAGTTGCGTCACAATATATGTTGTGTTTTAATCACGCATTTCAATCATGTCACAACGTTTAACATGTCACCGCACCATTATATTTCAGTTCTGCGTTTCAGTTATGTCATAGTGTTTTTTGTGTCAATATGTTCACTGCACCATTGCATTCATTGGTGTCACCACACTTTAGTTGCACCATAGTGTTTGTCGTGTTTCAGTCACGTCACAATGTTTACTGTGTCACCGCGCCATTATGTTTCAGTCTCGTGATTCAGTCGTGTTTATTAGAAAAAAAAATTTGAAAAAAAATATAGGTTAGTGAGTCAACCCACCTAACTCATCAACCTGTACTGGGTGGAGTCGAATTATAAAATTTTTGTTTCACCGTAAAGTGAGTCGGGTTAAGCTCACATATTTTAGCTCAGCTCATGGTGAGCCAACATGTGTGAGTCGAATTGACTCACTTTGACACCCCTACATGCAAGGCATATATAATAAGAAACTAAGACACAATTAAAATTAAAATAAACTAAACACAAACACAATGAATGTCAAATGCAATGGTCATATGATCAACACATCTAGTTGAAGTACAATTAATATTACATTAACTATAATGTAAATTAGTCTTATTCATCTACAATTTACCCATTAACCACACTCTTGAAGAGGCCTATTGTAGATAGATCGGCTTCCGAAAATAGAACCACAATTTGCTCTATGGCCCTAGCGAAGCCAACGACATACATTTTGGCAATTTTGATCTTGGCGACATCCTCAGACTTTTGGCAATAATAACACGTAGCGAGCGTATTCCCGCCAAAACAAGCAACGTTTGAGTTATCATATGAAAAGTGACATCTAATTTGTATAAGATGTTCGGGTTATTACGTCATACAAATACCAACATATAAATGTTAATGTCAGACGAGACAACATGGTCCCTTTAAAGCCTTAACATTTAACCGTAAACTCTAAACCTATCAAAGGGACATATTATTATTCATGTGTTAGTTGTTTGAATCAAATTCATCATGAACTTGGCGATATACATGATCACTTATTTGTCTATGATATTGTTAAGAGTTATACAATATGAACATGGTGTGGAGAAATATTAGACATATAAACTATGTTAACAATAGAAAATTTTGAAAAATGGACGAATGATAATTTAGAAGAGATAATATGTGATATTGGTGAAGAAAATTAAAAAGTAAAACATGTATATGATTCTTTGAAGTCTAATTTTGAGTAACAATTGTACCTAGGATACAATTCAATTTTACAAGACTATCACCAACTTTAACATTGTTTAGTTAAAAGTAAGAAATGGATAGACTGATAAAAGTTTCATTGAATTATTGGAGTTGTTGAAAGAGATTCTTCTAGAAGATAACACATTACCTAATTGTAACTATGAGGCAAAAAAGATACTATGTCCAATGGATTTAGAGTACAAGAAGATACATGCATGCTCTAATAATTTCATATTGTACAGGAATGATTGTTGCTACATTAAAGATGTGTCCAACATGTGGGTTGTCGTGGTTCAAAAAGAAAGTTGATGGAAGTAGGAAGAAACAGATGAGCCCTCTACTAAGGTGTTATGATGTTTCCCAATAATACCTATTATTTGCTATAAAAGAAGATGCAAAAAACTTGATTTGACTTAAATGCAAGGCTTTTCGTTCAAAATTTATAGTAATTTGATTTGTAAATTATAGTTTATATTATATTGTATTGTATTATGTAATTTAACATTTAAGTACTAGTTTAGCTTTTAAGTTGCTTAGTTTTTAAATAGTTTAACTTTTAAGTAGTTTAGTTCGAATGTTATATATTGTATTATTGTATATTGTATTGTTGTATATTGAATTATTGTTTCTCTGGAATCTGGAATGTTTTTATTAAAAATATGTATGCAAGTTTTGGTTGTAAGACAACAAAACGAAAATTTAAAAAAAATAGGCAAAATTTACATCAAGTGTGTCAATACTGACGTAAATTTTACACCAGTATTGATACACCTAATATAAATTTCGCCCATTTTTAAAATTTTCAAAACTTATTTACATTTGTTTCTTTATTTTTCCAGCATAAATTGACGTTGATTGTTTATATGATAACGTAATTTGACATTACTTATTGTATCCGATATAAATTTACGTCTCTCACATTAATATAAGATGTATGTCTGATGTAAAAAAATTAAAATAACAGACGTAAAAAGCCATGTCTACACTAGTGGGGATCACGTCGTGCATGTCTTTGATAAAAAAGATATTATTGCATTTCTTTAAGAAGGTCAATTATTTGGAAAACTTGCATAACAATACCAATTAGTGTTTCCTTGTTTAGCTCTTTGAGGCTCCTCTTGTAAGGCTCCTCTTGTAAAGTCTTCTACTATTATCTTGATATTAGCTAAGGTCAAGACTTCTTTGAGAAGGTCAATTATTTGGAAAACTTGCATAACAATACCAATTAGTGTTTCCTTGTTTAGCTCTTTGAGGCTCCTCTTGTAAAATCTTCTACTATTATCTTGAAATTAGCTAAGGTCAAGACTTCATGCTCATTGGTTTATTAGTGTTGTTTTGATTATTTGTCTTCTTGTCTTGTTGTGTGATGGTGGGAGATTATGTGTGTGTGTGTGTGTGCATGTGCGTGTGCGTGTGCGTGTGTGTGTTTTTCTAGACAACCTTTTTGGATTTATTTCTCAACTTGATGGATAAGCGAAAATCATTTTTTGTATCATGCCTGTATGCTTAATGATACTCACATCACAAGTTGCAATTTAGTCTTAATTGTTGGTTGATTTTTCTAGGTTTGTTCAATAATTTGGTAACATTAACGTCACGAAGGAGCCTACTTTTTGAAATGTTAAGGGGTGGTTGGAAGCTCGAGATAGTGTCCCCTATGTTAGTAAGGTCGATAGTGTGTCTCATTAGTCATATATCTACATTTTGGTGTGATATCTATGTCTAGGTTTTCTTAGAAGTCTACACTTCACCTTTCTTCTCCTTAATCCTCTTTCTTGTCATTGTTTATTCAATCTTAATGTGTAACGTGACCCTCAATCTTACCTCAGTCATATGTTTAACAGGTCGTTGTATTAGGGATTCACTAAATAGTCTAGCTCACAATTCCTTGATTAATGTGTCTATGAATATTTCTTCATTTAGTTAGAGGATTTTAACTGAGGCTAAAGAAATGACATAAGTATTCTTTTAACAATTCATTGTTTTGTCGTTTGGTATCAAATAGGCCGCTAAGTTTAAACTACTTTATTTTATTTATAACAAATTGGGCTACAAACAACTTGGAGAAATTGTCAAATGATATGATACCTCAATAAGAAAGACTACTAAACTAGTTTTATGTTATTTTGGTCAAACTTCCGATGAATATCTTACATTTGTTGGGTACCAGAGGGGAAAAGAAATGTTCACCTACAGAAGCACACACACAAAAGAAACAAAGATAGAAAAACAAACTTAGAAATTAACGTGGTTCGACACTTATTTCCTACATCCACTAACACACTCAACAACTCTTCATTTCTCAACTTGCAATTTTTACAAGGACAAAATTGCAAACCCTCTCATACAATTTTTGCACGAAAAATTGCAAACCCTCTCTTGAAACACAACTACCCAAGTCTCCAATACACCCAAAGGCTAGTGTTTTTGTGGTGAGTATATCCAAACTATCACCCCTTATTTATAGTAGTAGTCTACCACCCCCCTTCTTCAAACTACTCGATGTGGGACTTTGGAGGATACCCACACACTTTGGTCACAACAACATTGTACCTGATTAGACGCCCCACTAATCAACATTTGGGTGTGAAATGTTTATAGGCATAAGGAGGGATCTTAAGATCCAGTGAAAAATTGTACCATGTGGGGATCATGTAATGGGCAAGGATGGGTTGTTTCAACATTTAAAGGGAAAAAGGTTGGAAGTCGTGGGTATCTAATAATGGGAGAGTGCATTCTAGCTTTTGCGTGGTGGTTTGGTTTTGTAGTACTTGTTGTAATTCTTTATTGGCTTGGCCAATTTGTTCTTGAATTTGTAGGGAGGTTTCTACTAATCATCAGGATTCTTCAATCTCTAGTTGCATTTGGTCTTGCGTGAGGTAGGCTCCTTCTACTTTTTTAAAGGCTTATTCTTATTGTTTGCATATCTCTTTCTATTGAATTATTGGCAAGCGTACCAAAATTATCAATCGTAATATAGTATTTAGATTAAATAAAAGTTGATCCCATGAAGAACAATTTCAATGGAAATTCTCAATTATATGCTTACTAAGTGGATTAAAACATATTGGGTTTTGCATAAAGAGTTGAATTGAAATTAAATGACAAAGAATTGTAAATTGTTGAGAAAAGATCATAAAGGTACTTAGGATTGACTTCCTTCCTTATCTCTCTTTTGTAATGGCTATGTCAATTAAGAATATCAATTAACCTAACAATGTTGATGCCACCTACTCAAATCATCCATGTTGATTCCTCACACATGAAATTCATAAGAAAATCTAATAAATGTTGATTCCTCACACAATTAAGATATTTTCCAGCATTAGGTTTAGGATGTTAAGCAATTGATACATTCATTCCATTCCTGACAATTAACGTAACAAATATTCTTACCGTGATCTAGGGTTCAAGATATATTTTTCAATCATATCCCAAACATCAAGAATAAATCATTCTAAAGCACAAAGGATAAGAATAAAAACATCAAAACATAGATTAATATATCAAAAAATCACCATGATATAAAAGAGTTCAAATGAAGTGCACCAAATCCCAAGAGAATGAAGTTAGTCACTCATGTTGACCATTATAATGCTCCAATTGTGGAAGAAGTGAAGAATTGATGAAGATTGGATGAAACCTTAGCAGTAGTCGCGCCTCTTCTCCCAAAAACTGCTTGTTTTTCTCAAAACACATTTGGCTACTAAAGCTTGACAACATGTAGCTGACCTATTTCAAGATAACAAAAATACTAAGGCAGTATATCTTTGAACTCAGTTCATGAACACAAACTTAACAAATTTCTCCACAACCTCCACATATTGCAACCGACTCAAATTTCTTGCTAACCAATTATCGAACGTTGGGGCTCATGTTTCAGATCAACATCTAGTGCTCAATTTGCTCGGGCTTAACTGAAGCATATGTTGGTTTTGTCACAGTTATGAAACAAAAAGATGACTTACCAAATTTTGCTACAACATGTTCTTGATTGAAGTTAAAAGAGACCACAATTAAGGAGCGAGCAACTCGTGAATCTGGTTCCTTTGCGTTCTTAACCGTTGATGAAAGCTCTAATTCATAGTCGCAACAACATCATAGTAATACCAATAATTCTCAGGGTTGTCATAATATCAATCGCGGCAAGAAAATCAATTGAGGCAGAGACAACAACACCTACGGTGGCAGAGACGAACATGGAAGTGATGAGGTTGCAAGTGTTGGAAAAAAATGGTGCACCATAGTAGCTGCCGCAATACTCATAGTATCGAGCCTTCCCATCATATATCAGCATCCCTTCCTTAATCCTTGGACTGAATGGGTCCAACCTTTATGTCCTTATCCTACATCCTCATGGCAACCTAGACCTCCATGCCAAGCCAATGTTCTTGGACCGCGACGACCACAACAAGCTTATAACACATTAGTATTTTGCGGACTTTTCCCATTTCTAAAAAATCACAAATTTATTCCATTTTTCAATATTTTCAAAATCTAATTAAAACCCAATTTGAAAGAAGCATTAAAAATTTGCTATGTGATAATGGAAAGTAATTTCCTAATTATTCGTTTAAAAAATTTTGTGAACAAAGTGGAATACAATTTAGGTTATTTTGCTCTCACACCTCTCTTCAAAATGACAAAGGTGAACAACATGTTTAATCCATAACAAAATTATTCACACCTTATTAACACACTCATCCATGCCACTTTCTTTTTAGGACCATGCTCTTCAAATGGTCACTTATCTACTAAACATTCTCCCCACCAAAGTTTTAGGATATCGTTCTCTAATGCAAATCCTGTATCATAAAAATCCAGTATTTTTTCATCTTTGTGTGTTTGGTTGTCTTTGCTACCCCTTATTTACAAACACTACAATCAATAAGTTGCAAGTCAAGTCCATCCCGTGTGTTTTTCTAAGCTACCCATCAAACCATTAAGGTTACAAGTGTTATGATATTTCAAGTAGAAAAATAATTATTTCACAATTTTTGATGAGATATAATTTCCTTTCTCAAAAATACATGATCCATCTCCAAGAGTGTATGACCCCTTAAGTGAAGACACCTCTTGACACTTAATCCATCACCTACAAACCTATGTACCACAAAATCAAATAACACAACTCACACTTCCACTTACACATATAGGCCCAAACTCTCAACCAGCATCACCCTCTCCTCAACCAGCCCTACCCTCTCCTCAACCAGCCCTATCCCCTCACACCAATCAATTTTCAACCTCACCAATTTCTACTCTCTGTTATCAAACCCCAATCTGTCAGCCCATAATAACCAATCCTAGGCCTCACCACATGACCACTTGTAGGTGAGTGTCCTTCATGACCCAAACTGGAAAAATGCCATGACTGATGAATATATTTTGGTTTATGTGGATTTTTAGACATAAATGCAACTTTAACGTTCTTTTGACAGGTATAAAACTTGTCTTCTACGTGATGTAGGTCACAAAAGAAAGGAGTAGATTGTGATGCAATATTTAGTCCAGTAGTGAAACTAGCAACCATTCGAACGGTTTTAACCATTGCCTTGTCTTATCATGACTCATTCATCAACTGGACGTCAAAAATGCATTTTTACATGGTAATATAAACGAAACCGTTCATATGCATCAACCCATGGGTTTTAAGGATTCCTCTCATCCTAATTATGTTTTCTTGTTAAAAAAGTCACTATATGGCCTAAAGTAATCCCCTCGTGCTTAGTACCAATGGTTTACATATTATATGACCATAATCAGTTTCAAATATAGTAAATTCGATCAATCTTTATTCATATATCATAAGGAATTTGATATTGCATATATTTTGTTGTATGTTGATGATATTATCCCAGTCGCTTCGTCTGATTCTCTTAGAAAGTCAATTATGTTATTCTTGAGTACGAAGTTCACTATGAAGGATCTTGGTTCACTCAATTATTTTTTGGGGATTGTAGTTACCCGTCATGCAACCAGTATGTTTCTCTGACAGAAAAAGTATGTAGAAGAAATTCTTGAAAGAATAGGGATGACTAATTGCAAACCTTATTCCACACCTATTAACAAAAAACCCAAACTTGGTGCTTGTAATGACATTCCCTACAAGGATCTTACTAAATATAGATGTTTTGTTGAAACATTGCAATATCTCACTTTTACAAGGCTTGACATTTCTTATGCGGTGCAACAAATATGTCTTTATATGCATGATCCCAAGGAACAACACATGCATGCTCTCAAGTGTATTTTACGTTATATTCAGGGTACTATTGATTTTGGCTTGCATTGTACAAATCCAATATTGGAAACCTCGTTTCTTACATAGATGCGAATTGAGGTGGATGTTTAGATCCTAGACAGTTGACATCTGGGTATTGTGTTTTCCTTGGTGATAACTTGATTTCTTGGTCGTCCAAACGACAACCTACATTATCTCGTTCTAGTGTTGAGGTTGAATATAGAGGAGTAATTAGTATTGTTTCTAAATCTTGTTGGATTCGAAACCTTCTTCTAGAGCTTCATTATCCAATTCAAAAATCTAGATTTGTGTATTGTGACAATGTGAGTGTCATTTATCTATCAGGTAATCACGTACAACATCAATGTACAAAACACATTGAGATGGACATACACTTTGTAATGAAAAAGTTTCCTGTGACAAAGTCCTTGTCTTTCATGTTTCGTCTCGCTATTAAATTGTTGATATTTTCACTAAAAATCTTTTGTGTGTACTATATGATGATTTTCGGAACATTCTAAGTCTTTGTCAACTTTCTCGAGGTGTGATAAATATTATTATGTAAAATAAGTTGTTATTATTTTGAAAATATTTTATAATATTAATTACCTAAATTTTAACTTGTCCATTATGATGACAATCTATATTATACCTTATATTTTGTATATATTTTTAATCAATAAAATAGCAAATCACGGATGATTTTTACCATTTTCACTCATTTATATTTTTCTTTTTCTTTTATTTTATTTTTCACTCTTTTTGATTTTTTCATATCATTCAAACAAAACAATACTTTTATTTATGATTTGTTTGTTAGAGAGAAAGGAGAAAAAGGTGAAAGAGTGAATAAGTTTTGTTAGCGGCTTGATGAAAAAGAGAAGATGATTAATTTTAAAAAATGTTTCATTGTATTTTTTTTCACTTATATTTTACTTTAATCTCTTTCGTTTTTTTTTTTATCAAAGTATATAGCTTTTACAACATCTTTTTCTCTATTTCTCGTCTAGTTTTATATTTTACTAAATAACTAAACTTGTTTTTTATTTTGATTTTCATCCTCTCTTTCTAGAGTTCCATTTCACAATGCAAAATGAAACTGTAAATAAAAATGTTGCCATGTAAATGTATAGGTGTGGACAAGTTACCTAAGATTTTGGGGCAGTTATGACTGGACCCTTGAAAGATGGATAACACCTAATTGTACACAATAATTCTATTCTACACACTTTTGCCCTAAACCCTTGTCTAAATTTTGTGGTCCAGTTTTGAATCTGTCCCTCCTTTTCTTTGTTTGCTCATGACAGCTAACTTATTTTGTGGGATGCAGGTCAATTTTGGTTGGCTTTTAAATTCGCGTTTATGCTCACAACAAATTCAAAAGGATTAACTGTAAAGTGCATGACGTCCTTGCTAAGCATCAAGGTTCAAAGCTCACCTTTTAAATTGTTATTTCAGAATCAACCTCTTCTATTTCTACGTCATTTTCTTCATCAATGAAGAAAAACTGTTCACTCTTTTCATGTCAAGTTGGAGAAATTAGGGACAATTACAACGAAAACAACTTCAAGTTTCTAAGCTTGAAAAAATGTAAAGGGTAGATTTGACTACGTCATTTTATCCTTAAGGAATTCATAAGCACACTTACTAGAACTTCTCGTGGCATTGCTTCTTTTGATCTATTTCTGACTTAGTTTCAGTCAGATATAGAACCAGGCCAACAAAACCTTTGATGTGATTGTTCAGATATTCGCTGTAATGCTGAAAAGAGGCAGGGCCTCACGCTAAACAGTTTCGTCAGAGAGCATTCCAGAAGCTAATAATGATGGATTTTGCAGGATAAACATGTTTAGAAACACTGAATTTAATAGATTTTTTTCTCAAAAATTCCTTCAGAAAGTTACATGAAAAAATAGAGTTTTGTTATAAACACTAATTAATCCAAACACACACCAAAGTATCTACAAATATTTAACTTGATTTCAGACCTCTTCTAGTTTAGTTTAAAAGATTAGTAATTTTGACGCATCATAGTTTCCTCAACCTAGCCAAACTTTTTGTTTTTTTAACAAATAGAAAAGAGAAACATAGAAAATGATGAATGAGTGAACTCATTATGTTAACAAGTTGTTGCTATATCTTCTCAAACAAGACTGGTAGTTATGGAGAATTCATGGTATCATTTTCTTGGATGGAAAAGTCCGACCAACTTTAAGGTATGAAAAAGTAGGAAACCACAGATTTTACTTCTTGATTACTTTTTGACCCTTTTATTGTTTCCTTCTGATATCATATTGGCTACCATGCTGCAGTATTCTGTTTCAATATTAGTAAGTACGTTTATTCACAACTTCACTAAGAAGAAAGAAAGGGGAGCAAGAGTTAGTGAATATAGTCCTTGACCAAGAGCTAATTTCTAATAATACAAAATATTATTCATTCATACGAGTTAGATGATGAAGAATAGCAAAGATTATATCAACGGGCTTCTAATAAGGTAATGGTTATTTCATTTGTTGAAATTGGTTGCTGCTTACTAGTGGAGGAGTCTGCTTCACCTGAATATTTTCCAAAGAATCCTGGCTGTTTTGGCTCAGGCAATTCAACCTCACTCACTAACATTAAGAGCACACAAGACATTCCAGGCCTATCATCTGGATTCTGTTGAACACACAAGAGACTAACATGAATGCAATGCAATATTTGTGATTGGAAAATGGAGTTTTCTATGCTTTTATCAACCAGATCTAGTGGTCTTCCTTTTTTCCAGAGTTCCCATGCCTGCAAGACATTAGAATTGCTTGTCATAAATAATACACACCTGTTTGATGCATGGGAGTTTACAATTTGTCTCTCAATACTTACATGGCCTATGAGATTTTGGCTGCGGTTCTGATTATAATATCCTCTACTTCTCTTCCCAGATATAATCTCCAACAATAAAACTCCAAAGCTGAAAACATCGGATTTCACTGAAAATAGCCCATCAGTTGCATATTCTGGTGCCATGTAGCCACTGCAGAACACATTTTTAAATACAACTATTAACATTAATACATTACTTGAATTGAAACTCTAAACATTTATTATGGTGTTGTGAATCTCTTAACTAGGAGAAAATAGATGTCATGAGTTCAGCTTGATTGGAAGAACATTTGTTCACTTACTAAGTACCAACTATTCTCCTTGTGTTTCCTTCTTTCTGATCTCCACCAAATATTCTAGCCATGCCAAAATCTGAAATTTTGGGGTTCAACTCACTATCAAGTAAAACATTACTTGCTTTGAGATCCCTATGAATAATCCTTAGTCTGGAATCCTGATGAAGGTAGAGAAGGCCCTTAGTAATTCCACATATAATGTTGAAGCGTTTTGACCAGTCTAGTAACTCACTCTTTTCCTGATCTGCCATTTTTCCATCAGAAAACAAAATCAATTTGATTATATGATCTTAAAAAAAATCTAGTGTGAAAAGTGGTTAGGGAACTCTATCATGAAGTTATTCTTAATTACTAAATAAGCAATTCATTCTTTGGATCCATACCAAAAATAAATGAGTTCAGGCTACCATTTATCATGTACTCATAAACCAACATTTTTTCCTCTCCTTCAAAGCAACATCCAAGAAGCTTTACAAGATTGCGGTGTTGAAGTTTTGCAATCAATTTTACTTCGTTCTTGAATTCAGTCAATCCTTGTCCTGAACTTTCTGAAAGCCTCTTCACAGCAATTTCTAACCCATCTGCTAGAGTTCCCTGAAAAATTAAATTTTCAAATTGATCATGTGATAGAATTGTTCATTTTATTCCCCAATTCTTAATGTCATAATAATCTATGAGCAAATTACCTTATATACAGATCCAAAACCACCTTCTCCAATTTTGTTCTTGATTGTAAAGTTGTTAGTGGCCATAGCTATAGCTGACAAGTCAAAAACTGGTAGGTCCATATCATCCACTTGCATTCCACTGTTTTGATATGATTTGATACTGAGGTCTGATCTCTCTGACAAAGTATAAGTGGGTGGTTTCAGATTGTGATAACTGACAAGCATTGCAGCAAATGTCTTCCAATTTTTGCAAGAAATAAAATTTCATCTTTCATACAATGAAAAAGATCCTATATCCTACTGAGTTATTCCACTTAATCCCCATCTTTCCCCCAAATGCAAAGAAAAAACAACGGAAATGGAAGAGCTAGTAACTCCAAGTGGATGCTAGGAATTAGGAATCTATGCACATAAAAAAGGTGTCTCAATTTTAACCAGTTAATTTTCAGACAACAAAATTAAAATTTCATTTTGAATTACCTTTCCCAACATATTAGCCAGACAAAATTGAAAAAAATAAGAAACAAAATTCCTGTGTATATATGATATGTCAATCGGTTGCAATCATAAATAGCAACCTAAACCTCCATTCGAGGAAGGAATCAGAACAAGTGCCTGCCATGACTTCACAACATCAATAAATCATTTTGTCCTGTTATTTCAAACTGATACATTAATACAATACCATAGCATTTTATTCAGACACTGTTTCTTCCCTCATGAGAAGAGAAACATAAATGTGAATTTTACCTTTCACATTGGCGCGTGATTTCTTTCTATTGCACAAGCCAAGTATTATTAGAATACCAGAAACTACTGCCACGGCCAAAGAAACTGTTACTGCCACCAGGACTCTTCCCTTCTTGGGGCCCTCACTGGTGTGTTCTAATTGAATTTAATCACAAATTTACAAAAAGGTGACATAAGTTTTCACTGATGAAAATGTATCTTAGCTAAGAAATTTATTTGAAGAAGGACTAATAAGTGGCAAAGCTAAGTTAATACCTAATTCTGAAGCATCCATTCGAACATATACATCCTGGCCTCCAGCTGAAAACTGTCTAAAATCAATAAGGTCACCAAACCACATGGCACAACCACTTGCTTGTCCACTGATATCTGAATTTGCATAAGCCATACAAGAACAGTTGTCCAAGCACTTGGTTCTGCATTCCTCTAGCCCAATTGTCTGATCCAGCCAACTATGTGTAGTGTCAGGCGTTTTCATCTCAGCCAATTTGATAAATCCATCCTTGAGCTTGTTTTCACAGCTTAATTCCTTATTGCGGACACATCCATGAGACCAATCCATTGAGGCCCATGCTTGAGGTGACTTAGGCTTGAACCCTTCCAAACATTGGCACACAGGTGAATCTGTAATAACACAATTTGCATTAGCTCCACAAAGGGAATAACTGTCACATAAGTCCAGTGGCACTGAAGTGTAGACTTCCCATATTTGCTTTGATTCAATCCACACATACCGCCTACGAACGTAGCTTGTTGCATTCAGAACCAACCTTGAGATCACAGAGGAGTTCTTAAGGCTATATGTGTAGTAAACTTCATTCTCGTTGAAAACAAACCTGAAGTCATAAATGGGGTTGGCCTTAACATGTGGTGAACCACTTGAATGTAAACCATTCCATGGTCCACTTCGATAGAACTTTTGGTTACCCTTCATCATGTATGCTTCAGGATAGTTGTTGAGTACCATACCAAATGAAAAGTCACTAGGAGATGGATCGTCAGGACTCTTCCAAGCTGTTAGCTTTCTATTAAGACCAGTTCTCAAGTCCCAACCAAACTTCATTTCAGGTAAGAAAGTGTCAGTAGGGTAGTCAAAGCTCTGCCACAAGTAGGCCTCAATGTTTGCCTCTTTCTCATCTCTTAACACAAGATTTCCAGAATCTAAGAGAAGGGCCACTGGACTTTCTACTTTTCTCAAAGAGGTTGTAGACCAAACAACTTTGCCATTCTGTGTAAGGACAAGGTTCCCAGAGCTGGTGTTCATTCTCAAGATGCCAGATGAATCATTGATTGGATTTACCCTGTTTGCAACCCAAACCACTGTTTGAATAGGGATTTTCCTGTACCAAATCCCCAGGTAACGTTTCTGAGAATTTCCTGGGGTGAAGAATCCAAGTTCAAAGGTTCCATCTTTGGAAACCAAGGTGTTATTAACATCATCACTTAGGGACAGGTCTTGAGAAATGGAATCAAGTGCCAAGGAAATTTCAGAAAGATAGACAAGCATATGATAGCATAGGAAAATGATTCTCCTAAAAGACATGAGGTTCTTCATGTTGTAACTTCTCAAGAACTAGGCACTTCAGCTACATAAATATATAGTGATTGATAAACCAACGGCAAAAACAACCTGGATTGTAAATTGCTTAGCCTTTTGCAATGATTTTCTGGTGAGTCTCTGCTGACAGAAAGTACGAGTATGTTATTCGCCCTATCTAAAAGTATTGGGATGTCTCATTCAATCATTTAAAAAAAACACAAAACTGAATTGTGCGAAATGTGAACACAAGAATGACCATGATGCTTCACTGTATCTGCGGGGTAAGATGTTACTTGTTTATATGCTTGTCATTATATAAACAAATAAGAGATGAAAAGGATTAATTCAGTAATAAATAAATGCAATCTGAGATGTTAGTTGTGGAAAAAGAATGTATTGTTACTTTTTTTTGTAGCAAATCACAAAGTGGTGGTCGATTGGGGGTGGTTGTGAAAATTAAAGAAGTAAAAAATAGGAGACTTGAACAGACTGGTGCAGTTTCTCTGAAAAACGTTTGAACACTAATAGGCAAGTTATTGGAGAGAAGAAAAAGTAGAAAATACTGAAATAACAATTTGCAAGGGTGGTTTCCGTTGAAACATTGCTTTAAGCAAAGTCTAGTGATTGGAAACTTGAGACTCCCAAGTCAAAATACCTCTTCAATTGGTCAATAAGAAAATGGCCATGTATCTCTAAGAGTAGACTTTTCTTGTGTGGCCCAAAATTGTGGCATGAGAGAAACTTTGTAAATAATGTTTTATTTTTAGTTAATTTTTAAAAGAAAATTGTTTTGAATTTTGACAAGATAAATTTTTATTAGAAATAGAGAAGTAGTTAATTTAATTTTATAATTTTCAATCCACATTTCCTTTGAGGACATAAGGTATAATAATTATAATATATAAATTATAAAAAGAATTAAGCTGTAATATCATTTTAAAAATAAAAAAAGTTATCTAATTAAAATTGACTTATAAGATAGATTTATATCATAATTTTGATTATGTATTTTAAAAGATTGGTTGGTAGTTCAGTCTTTTAAGATATTTGTCCTCAATTCTTTATTTTGTTTTGTATATATACATATATTTTTATTTTTTTAATACATGGAGAAAATAAAAATAAATAATTTTTGTAAAACCCTTTTAATAATTTAAAAAAAAACTAAGGCTATATATATATATATATATATATATATATATATATATATATATATATATATATATATATATATATATAACGAGACGACCCTATATTTGCTTTTCTCTCTTTTTATTATATATATAAAAAAACTTTGACTCTTTCAAAATCACAAAATTATGAAACAGTTTTAATCTTGTGTTGTTTCTAATTAAAATATATTTTCTAATTTATAGAAATAAATTACTTTTACCGATTTAAAATAATATTATCTTATATTTAATAATTTATACTTAATTATTAATAAAGAAAATTTGTGGTTTTTAACTGATTGTTAGGGTATATATTTTCTACTCATTTTATTTTTAATATTTTAGTAATAAATAAGTTTGTGATTATTTTTATAATTTTTATTTTATCTATTTGATTGATTAAAATTTATTGTGATAATTATATGATTTTTTTTATTGTAATAATTATTATAATGATTAAGTTTTTAATTATATGAAAAAAATTTATTATCCTACATTTTACTAGTAATAATATTATTATTATTATTGCATAATGTTTATCAAAATAAATATATTAAACAAATAATAAAATATTATTCTAATTAATCTTAATTATTTTGATAAGTAAAATAAATATTTTATTACAAATTTCAATACTTTATTAGAAATAAAAATTTTAGAACTCTACGGCTATTTCATATTTAGATTTCGATTTCGATTTAATATTTTATTTTGAAATAAAGTTTTAATGTTTATTTAAAATGAATCTTTAAAATTATTTATAAAAATTAAAAAACAAAATAAAATAAAACAAATGGTGACTTTTGGGATCGGTGTTGTAGTTCAATTACCTTCTATTCAAAGCCCTTATATTGAAAATAAAAAAAGTCCAAACTTTTATTGGTCCTCTAATATTAGTTTAGATTTAATAATGTATTAATTTAAATTTAATGTGAAGATGAAGAAAAGAATGCCAAAGCCTAAGCCTATCCTCATAGCTGCATTGGTTCACAGCTTCGCCTAAGCCTAATAAAGTTTTTGTAATTATATTTTATTTTATATTTATTTTTTATTTTAGTTTTTGTAATATTATTTTCATGTGAATTATTTTAGAAAATATTTATTAGAAACTAAAAGTAAATTATCTAAATATGACAAAAAGATATATTTTCGTACAGACATTAAAGTAAAATAATCAGAATCATAATAGTTTAAAAGTAAAAAAAAAATTGAGAGTTTGAAAAATTAAGTAATTTTGATTAATTTCGTATTTTTACGAAGAATTTAACAAAAAGAAATTAATTTGAAAGATAAAACTTCAAATTTTTTTTTATAATAACAAATGAAAACATATAACTAATTTTTTAAAATATCTTAAATTTTTATTTTATTTTTTTCTCTTTATTTTTTAAAATTCACTTTTTTCTATTAATTATTAATTACATATTATATTTTTTATCTCATGTATTTATTATTTTTAAATATATAAATTATAATAATCATTTTTTTAAATATTATATTTTTTATTTTCCATTGTCGTTAAAAAAGAATTTTTCATTATATAGAGTTAAAGATAATAATAATAATAATAATAATAATAATAATAATAATAATAATAAAATATTTATTCAAATAATATATAAACAAAGTTTACGCTGATATGGAAAGAAGAAATACCTTTAAAATTTATAAAAAATGAAGTCATGTTTCTCATTTGAGTTTTCACATTCAGTTTTTTTATTATTATTTTGTTAAAAAAAATGTTGCAAATTAAAAATGAAAAAAAAAATGATACTATGTCTTGTCACGTCGCATATAAACCCACTTAATATAAAAAATGTTAAAAGATAAAAAATAATCAAATCTACTAAAAATATTAAAAATTGAAGTTAAAAAAATAAAACTTTTGTCAACAAAATAATATTAATTATAAAAAATATATAAAAAAAATATGGTACGTAATGATAAGCTGCATGAAAAATTGTGAGAAACAATAATAAATATAATGTTAATATCTTGTAGAAATTGTATATAGCTTTGTTAATAAAAACTACACATGAATAAAGTGTAAAAGCTATAAAAATATATATAATGTAATTTCATCAATCACATAAAAGATAAAAGTGCATACAGTTTAAATATTAAAAAAAATATCATAGTAGCTAAAATTTATTATAATAAATACAAGGAATTTTCAGGTATGGAAAATTATTTTGATATTGTAAGGTTTTAATTTTGGTTTGAGAGATAAAAAAAAATGGTTCTACGTGATGATTTACGTAAGTTGCAAATAAGTGTATCTATGTTTCTGTCCTAAGTGGAGGATATTTATGTATTAATTAGTTTGATTTTAACATCATTTTAATTTTGAATTTGTATTTTGTGTTGTGATTGATTTGAAAAAAATTGATGGTATCGAGTGACTTAATTATTTTTCATAAGATGTTCTGCGTAGCCAAAATATCATATTAGGATCGAGTTTTGTAATTATACAGGTGTTTATCGTGAAAATGGGTCAATAATTTAACTATTTAATTTTTCAGCTGTACCACTCTTTTCAATATCAACCGGTTTCTTTTAAACGTAAAATCTTTTTAATTCTGAGTTTTCAATTAAGCTTTGACCACGTTCAATGACGTAAACTTTTATCAGAAATCTTTTATATATTAATTTGATGAAGATACTTATGACTTTTTTTTAATTGTAGATCTAATTTTTAAAATTAGTTCAAGTGAAAAAAAATGTAAATGTGTAAGAAAATATGCGAGAAAAGTAGATGTCTAAAAAATATAAATGTAACAGAAAAACAAATGTGCAAGAAATGTAAAGAGAAGAAGATGTAAAGTGTCGGGGATGTAAATTGACTACGGATAAAATAGAAGCTCATAAAAAAAAATTTAACGACAGTGGTGATTCAAATTATCAAGAAGTGGTCTGAAATAGTTTTTACTTTGCTCACGGTATTTTTTTCATAATGTGATTGTTTTACTACAATTTGTCAACTTTAATTACATTTATTTAGTCTTATTTATATTTTGTTTTGTTACTAGAAAGGTAGAGTAAAATAAAATACATATAAAAATAAAAATGGTTTCTTTCTTATCTAACCATTTTTTCCTTTTTTCTTTAAGTAGTTGCATTGTCACATGTATTACTTGTAACCGTCGTCATGAAATTATAATTATTATTGTCACATCATAAAGTTATAATCACTTCTACACACTTCTCGACTTTATAACTTATTTTTGATATCTCTCTTGTCTTTCTTGATTTTTCTAATTCTTCAATTTACCGCTTCTGTCTTTCTCTTGATTTTTCCTTCAATTATTCTGAACATTCGATTATTTGATTCACAGATTTTCTCTTATCATCTTATCTTTAAATCTCTTTGATGATTATGAATCCTTAATTATCGGATTCTTCGATTCTCCTTTAACCCCTCACCTTCGTCTCGATTTCTCTTTTGATCACTATGAACTTTTTGATTTTCAATTTACACTTTCAATAATTTATTTTCCTCAATCTCGATTTCTTCTACATCTCTCATTCTCAATTACTCCTCATTTTTTTACGTTCTCGATTTTTCGACCTCTCTCAATTTTTACCATCAATTTTGATTTTCATCCTCTTAATCTTTACTATCTCAATCTCGATTTTTATCCTCTCAATTTCACTTTTTATTTTTAACTTCAATATTTTTTTTCCAGTTCATTCTTGCTATGAGTTTGAAAATTTGTCATTAACAATAGATCATCTAATTTATGCCTTAATGCATTGTTTTTTCTACTCATTTATGCCTCTATAAAATTATAATTATATAATTATAATAAAATATCAAAAAAATTTCTTCAAACAAAATTAACA